TGTGTGTGTGTATATATATATATATATATATATATATATATACACACACACATACACATATATATTCCATTTTTAATTGCTTTCTTTATTTTAGTAAAAATAGTATCTTTCTTTAAAGCAGTTTTTGTAAAAGTACTTGAGGTATTGATTTCATTAATTAAAATTTGGGCATGTAATTTTTACATATAAAGTCAAAATGACATCCAGTTTTATCAATAGGTGTAAAAATAAATTCATCTTGAACATTTTTATTTTGTTTTTAAAAACATTAACGGACAAGTCTATTTTATATTTAGATAAATTTAAGGTTCTTAATTGAGTTTTAATGCATTTAATAATATACAATGTGGATTTTGCTTGATAGATGGGATATCCCCCCAATGCTTTTCGGGTGCTATTACCATAAGCTCTTTCCATTTATGACTATGGATGACTGACTGGAAGTGAAAGTAGATGCATCAGACGATTATTAATTCTTTATTGTTTAATAGTGCTGATTCAATAACTGCACACTAGTCCCCTGTCTTTTTGAGGACCATAAAGATATGAAAATAATATCCTAGAGTAAAGGTAAATAATCTCTTGAGGTCTTTTTTTGGAATTAAGATCTGAGACTGCATCCTCAGGATGTTTAAGATAAATGGGGTTGGAGGGTGGAGGAAAGAAGTTAAGGGATAGGCCATGGGTGAGAAATTGAAAAATCCATCTGTTGGCTGAAAATGGAGACCAAAGACTGGCAAAATGAGGCACAAAACAGGTGCAAACTGGGCCAGCCCTGACAGGACAAGTGATGACCCTTATGTTGTGAAGTGGGTGGATGGGAAGAAGAAGAATGGAAAGAAGGACTGAAAAGGGGAGATGTGAATTGACCAAGCCAAGGAACAGGGACAGAAGGATGAGGTTGAGCAAGATGAGAACCAAAGAAGACAACAAGGACTGATGTCAGGCTGCCTCAGTTCTCATCCTCAAAGAGTTAGAAACAACACCCAAAGACCACCAGGCAAAGAGAAAAAGCCAACAAAAATCAGTTATTGTTAATACTTTACTGTACTTTCAGTTATTTCAAATATTCAACTTAGAACACAAAAACATAATGCTTAGAAAGAACACAATGTCTTATAATTACAATAATTTAAATGTATTTTTAACTAAGCTATAAGTGTGTTAGAATAATTCCCTTAGCTTGTTTAGTGTGAACTCAGAAATAGCAACATTGAACTGTAGGCTGAATAATTCAGAACTGCCATTAGAACAAGCTAGTATAATATGTAATTCAATAAAATGTTATCTTCTCTTTCTATTGGTTATAAATAATGTAATAACAAACATCAGCAATGTTCTCTTTAAGCCACAGAGCAATCTATCTGGCAGGTGTTGCATACCAAAAACAACAGGTTACTCATAAGTTTGTCAGTTGGTAATACTTGTGTGTGGAATACATATGACAAAAATTTGAACATTACCATGTACAAGTGTCTGGTACAAGTATGCACGTTAACAGCTGTTCATAAAAAGGGCTATTTAGCTTTTAAAGAAAAATGACTTTTGAAAATTATGGAAACCAAAATTTCATATAAAAAGAAATTGTGATAGAAGAGCTTGTAGTCAGCCAAGTATAAAGAAAATTATTACAAGGAACATTGACTACTATTGCCCTATGAAAATACAGATGTTTCCTTGGCACAAGACTCATGAAAACACAAAATTCAGCCATTGCTGAACATGCCATGTCAACTGGACACAACATAAACTGGGAATAAGCTAGAATCATCGACACAGACAAATTTTGGAAGACAAGAAAAATTAAAGAATCGTTTTACATACTGCCCAGAATTAACTATGGGGATGAAATTATAAGTAGTTCATTAGGGATAAATGATATGCTTAGATTAGTAGTTAAGGATGAGCAGATTGGTTGGTTGGAGTTGTGGGATCACTTCAGTGGAATAAGGGAGCTTTTTGGAATGGATGGTTTACATTTGAATAGAATAGGGGCTAGCATGTTTGCTAAGGTTACTAACTCAGCTGTAAGGGAAGTGTTTTAAGGGAGTAGACATTTGTGAGGGCGGGGAAAAACTAAATGCAAAAAGAATAATAGGCAGAGAAAAGTTTAGCACAGGAAATAAGTATAGAAGCAGCTATAAGGATAGGCTTAACTGTTTCTATCGTAATGCTAGAAGTATAAGAAATAAAATAGATGACTTTAGTGCACTGGTAGGAATAGAAGATTTTCATATAATGGAAATAACTAAAACACGGTTAACCCAATGACTACCAGCTACTAACTTTCTTAGTAGCCAATGCAAGTCTTGCTATATATCATTCCAACAATAAAACTATTGGTTAAAAAGTTTTGAAACTTCTCAAGAACTTTCATAAATGTACATAGTTGAAGAAACATAAAGCCTGTTACTTTTGATAAATTTAGTTTTTTTGCATTATGATCTTTAATATCTTGGAAAATTACATTAGGAAATGGTATTTATAAGAAATGATTATGATATTTATATTTGTTCCAAATTTGAACTGATTACTTTTTATGTTTTAGTACATTATTTTGCAATCCTAAAAAATTTGTATCTTCCATAAAATGCAAATTTTATCTATTTTTTAATATTTTAGTAATCACGTATTCTCCTTATGGTTTCAAGTAATATATAAGACCCAAAAATAATATTTGTAAATAAACTTAAACAATAAATGAGTATTTTTGTTTTTAACTAAGATTTCATGTTTATATATGTACATAAAAACATTTTAATTTTCTTTCATAAATATATTTTTATTTCAAGTTTATGTTTATGTTTCATTGCAGCCGTACTTTGGTTTATTGTGCTGAATAAATCGTAAAGTTAGCAGCGTGAACTTTGTACGTTTTCCGTAAACTATCTCACCCCTGTTTGGGGTCATTCTCGTTCAGTCCAGTGTGGTCGCATTTGAACATTACTGTAGATATGATAGTAAGAAAGCTTTTCGGTACTTGAATATCATTTCTTTGAACTTTCAAACGAGTTTATATCAACATATGTTCATGTATGTTGTTTCACTATAGAGACAAAACTAACTGCCACTACTAGCGAATGTATGTAACGGTTTATAGTACAGGTGGTTTCAATAAACACCACCTGTGCCCTTGTTACTTGATACATCCTGTTAGAAGAGATTACCAAATGTTACAGACACCATAAATTACAAAGAAGATTACTTTACAACACTTAAAATATTAGTCCTGGTCACATTCCTTTCATTATAGGCAAGATTTATGTTAGAAATCGAAACTTTAGCTCTTCAGTGTACTGAGACCCCAACTGTGAGAATGTCATAGCTTCCCTGTATTATTGAGATGAATGTATTTAGCCTGTTTCACAACCAACATAAGGGTTTTATCGTTGTAACTTGTACACTGAGTTTGAACCATTTGCAAAATATCAGAACTATATATATATATATCAGTTAGACTGTTTTAATTCTAATGCAATAACAACAGAAGAAAGATTGTAAGAAGGAAAAATATACAATTCGTATGTGGTACTGGTACTAGTAGTATTACGTACAAATCACACAAGTTTATCATTCTAAATACTGAATCATATTATTATTATTATGAATTAAATATAAAATTATGCTAAATTATTGAACTTAAAACTACAAATTTAAATTCAAAATAATATAAAAATCACAAACTCTTTCAGTTCAAAGCCCTAAGTCTAATTCATGTAAAGACTTTGCACTCGCCACTCCATAGCTCTTAACCCTAACAATCGTGGATCAACTTTTTTCCCAAAAAATATATCTATTTGAGTTCATTTTCCAATATAATGATTAATATAAACAGATATATGATGCAGCATGACTAAAGCTACCATATAAAAATAATAAAAGTCACGTACATCCCATGCAGTTTTTTCCAGAAGCAACTTTTCTAACGCTTATAGAAAAGCACTATTGGCCAGTACTAAATACAACCTCTACATAAAATGGCAGTTACTCTAATAAGCACCACCCACACTCATAGTGTAAAATCCAGAGAACAACGTTTTGTTACGTGCTTTCCTTATCATTCTCAAATGTGAGATACAGCAATTGGAATATC